CAACTCCTCCCTGCTTCACCCCGAAGCGTGTCGGCAGGGCGGGCAGGGCGTTTCGCCTGAGCCTTCCTCCCACTCTATGACCCTTAAGCTGAGAAAATGTACGATAGCGTCCTGGACGGAGAGCGGGTGGTTTTCAACATGAGGCTCCCGCCCTAGCGCCGTGCACATTCGTTTTACAAGTTGGCAACAGCTTCACGGATGGAGCGGGGGTCCTTTGACAAATGTGGATCTCGCCCGAGCGCCGCGCACATGAGCTCTCTTAAATAAAAAATGCAGCAACTTGACGGATGGAGGGGGGTCGTTTTCGAAAAGTGGGTCTGGCCTTAGCGCCGCGCACATTCGTTACATTTGCAAGAGTTTATCGGATTGACGGCGGGTAGTCTTCAAAATGTGGTTGTCGCTTGAGCGCCGCGCACATGTGTATTAAAAAGATGCAGCAGTTTTACGGATGGAGGGTGGGTCGTGTTCAAATGTGGTTATCCTCAGCGCCGCGCATCTTAGTCTTCAGAATTTGCAGCAATGGAAAACGTAGTTATGGTGACTGGCGTCCCAGAATGGTGTTCTGGCACGATGTAGGACTGTCTGGGCGCGACAAGTATTTTGGCGGTGCTGAAGTCCCAGGCATGGTGTCCTGGTACGATTCAGGATCGCCAGCACGGGCAGCAACGTTGATTCCTCAGGCTGAAGTCCCAGGATCCTGGCACGACTCAAATTTTCGGACGAGTGTCTTCCGACGGAGCACTTCCCTCAGCGAGAATGAGTCCTTATAGGGGCCATCGAAGAGGGAACTTGGAGGGAGGGTTCATTGCAACATGGTTGATGAGCCTTGGGTTTGCACGGCCCTCCCTCCTTCTCCCCCCCCTCCTGCTTCTCCTCCTCCTCCTCCTCCTCCTCCTCCTCCTCCTCCTCCTCCTCCTCTTCCTCCTCCTCGTCCTCGTCCTCATCCTCCGCCTCCTCGTCCGACGCCTCCGCCTCCTCCGCCTGCTCATCCTTCCTCTCCTCCTCCTCCTCCTCCTCCTCCTCCTCATCATCATCATCCGCATCCTCCTCCGCATCCTCCTCCGCCCCCTCTTCCTCCGCCTCCTCCTCCGCCTCCTCCTCCTCCTCCTCCTCCTCCGCCGCCGCCTCACCCCTCGCCTCGCCCAGCTCCAGCCCAACACGCCCCCGAAGACTCTCCAGGCGGCCCGAAGACCTGGAAGGCGCCCGCCCGAACGGCTGAAGACACCTAACCACGCCCTCAAGATGCCTCGAGCTTTCTCCGACAGGCCCTCGGGGGGCCAAGCAGGCTCCCGACGGTCCCCTCAGAGGTCCGCAACACTGACAAGGCATCGATTGGGATGAAGGTTACGGGTCCCGAGGGAAACGCGTCCTGGATCCTGGGGCCTTCCCCCATGGACCCCCGAACCAGCTGTTCGTCCAGAGTCGTTTTCTGACAGTCCTGGGGCCCGTGTACGTGGAGTGCCCCAGGAGGCCCAAAACGGTAAAAAACCTCAGGACCCGTTTCCCGCAGGACCCGTTTCTTCCATGGCGAATGAAGCATGTCATTGTTTTCGCTCACCGCTTATGCTGGCCCAGGATGGCTCCCGAAGGCGTCCCGCAGACGGCTCCGGGACCATCCCAGGCTGGCCTCGAAGTGGCAAGTTTCATCCTGCCAGGAAGCCCTAAGCGGCATTTGCCGTAGGCTGTCCGATAGATTGCGCCAGACGCCCCGCAGACCACAAAACATCCGTCGCTCGTCGTGTCGTCGTCGTCGTCGTCGTCGTCGTCGTCGTCGTCGTCGTCGTCGTCGTCGTCGTCGTCGTCGTCGTCGTCGTCGTCGTCGTCGTCGTCGTCGTCGTCGTCGTCGTCGTCGTCGTCGTCGTCGTCGTCGTCGTCGTCGTCGTCATTGTCGTCGTCGTCGTCGTCGTCGTCGTCGTCGCTGTCGCCGTCGTCATCGTCTTCGTCGTCGGGCGCTCCACGGGAAATCGAATCGTCCGCTGCTCCAGTGGGTCTGCCACAGGCTGCGCCACGCGGTGCGCCAGGCACCCTCCGCGGGCCACCAAATCGCACGCTGCCGCAATGGGTCTGCGATAGATTGCGCCAGACACGTTCTCCTTATCCTCGTTCTCCTCGTCCTCCTCCTCCTCCGCCTCCTCCTCCTCCTCAGCCTCCTCTTCCTCCTCCTCCTCCTCCCCCTCCCCCCCATCTTTCCCCCTCCTCCTCCTCCTCCTCATCCTCCTCCTCCTTCTCCTCCCCTTCCTCCTCCTCCACCCGCGGGCCGCCAAATCACACGTTACCCGATGTGGTCTGCCAGATGCTGCGCCGTTGGCTTCGACAGGCACCCCGCGGGCCGCCAGATCGCCCGCTGCCCGACTCGGCCTGCCACAGGCTGCGCCATAGCCAGACACCCCGCCGGCGAGAAAATCGCCCGTGGCCCCCATGGGCAGGAGAGCCCATAATCAAATCGATAAGTCGGATCGGCGATCGAAATGAATCGGATCGGCGAAAATCGGCAGCCGAGTCGGGAAAAGTCGGATCGGCGGAAATCGGCAGGCTACTATGCGTCCCATAAGAAGTCGGAATCCGAATCGGAATCCCAAGCCGAATCGAATCGGAAGCGGAAGCCATCGAAATCGAACCGAATCGAATCGGAGGGGTCGAAATGAGCCCTGCATGGGTCTGCCATAGGTCACGCCACAAGTTGCGCTGGACCCCCCGCGGCCACCCAGAATCGTCTGCGGCCACGCGGTGTACACTTTCCGGCGTCATCAGCCACCGTGCCCCGAGGCACGCGGCGGGGTGCCCTCAGGTCCCCAAAGGGTCCTCTGTGCCAAGGCTCGACCTAAACAATGTGTTTGGGTTCGTGCTCGTTTTGGTTTCGTGTTACCTGGTTTTGTCTTCAATCTGCCTTTGTTGCAAAACGACATCGAAACGACAACGGCTCACGAAATCGCCAAAACATCGCTCAGGTCCACCCCTGGTCCCTCAGGGTCCTCCCATGCTGGGATGGTACATACTTCTTACGGGGCTCACAGCCCTGAGTTACCGGGACTCCTGGGCGCCTCTGGAAATCCAGCGCCTGCCCCCGCATGACTTTGCCTGGAGCAAAGAGGGCCCCCAAACGGGCCAAGAGGGCTCAAGAGACCTCCAAGACGGTCCAAGAGGGCCCCGAGTCTGCCAAAGATCGCTCCTAGACGTTCAAGATGGCCTCCAGCCGGCCCAAAAGGTCTCAAGACTCCCCAAGGAAGCTCGAAGGTCCCCAAAGAGGACTCCAAAAAGCCAAAATCATTGATTTCCTGTCTGTTGCTTGCTGATTGTAGCGTTCTCGCCGTTTCTGGTTTCCGACGCTTCAAGACGGCCCAAGAGGCACCCAATATCGACCCAAGACGGCCCAAGAAACCCCCAAGAGGGGGCCCATACGGCCCAAGACGTCGAGACGGCCCAAGAGGGCCCCAAGAGGGGCTCAAGAAAGCCCCGAGGGGGAAACACGGACCGACGTTCAGAGCCCTCCACCTTCGGGGTCGGCCCAACAGGCTAAAATCATGCAATAACAGATTGGGCTTCAACGTCCTTCTGGCGATCACCTTAACAGTCTTCACAACGCCCAGGACGGCCCAAGAGGCCTCCAAGAGCAATCCAAGTCGGTCCGAATGAACCCCAAAGAGGAACCCAAGAAGGCCCCAAGACTGCACAAAATACAGTCGGGGCCTTGACCTAAGGAACCCTAAATAAGGAACGAGCCCCCTTTTTTCCATAAGTTAACCTTCGATTTCCGATCGAAAACATAAGGAAAACCTGAGGCAAGCTGCGAAACACGAAAGGAACGCGGAGCCCCTCCCCAACGAAAAGGGTTCCTTCTTCAGGGCCCCGACTGTAGCCCCAAGACGGCCCTGGGTGGCCCAGCGAGGGCTCCAAGAGAGCACGGAGGGGTCCCCAAAACTGCCCCCGAGGGCGCCGGATGGCCCAGGAGCGCCCCAAGACGGCTCCAGAGAGCTCCGAGATGGCCCAAGAGGACCCCAAACTGCCCCCAAGACATCCCAAAAGGCGGGAAAAGCATCCCACGAGGGCCCCGGGGGGCCCCTCCCTGGCCCTCCCCAAGTGTTCACCCAGTCGTTTCCCCAACAGCTGGAGGGAAGACGCAGTCCGCCAGCGTGGCCGCACTATCGCTCGACACTTCACGACGTGCGAGGGACTCCAGAGGCACGGGACGGCGGTGACTCGCCCTAGGCGTCTTCGAACTTTCCTCCTCGCTCGAACTCAGGACAGGCATCCCTCCCGGGCACCTGCCCGGCCAATCTCTAGGAGGGGGAGGAGGAGGAGGAGGAGGAGGAGGAGGAGGAGGAGGAGGAGGAGGAGGAGGAGGAGGGGAGGAGAGGAGGAGGAGGAGGAGCGAAGGGAGGAGGAGGAGGAGGAGGAGAGGAGGAGGAGGAGGAGGAGGAGGAGGAGGGAGGAGGAGGAGGAGGAGGAGAGGAGAGGGAGGAGGAGGAGGAGGAGGAGGAGGAGGAGGGAGGGAGGGAGGAGGAGGAGGAGGAGGAGGAGGAGAGGGAGGAGGAGGAGGAGGAGGAGGAGGGAGGAGGAGGAGAGGAGGAGGAGGAGGAGGAGGAGGAGGAGGAGGAGGAGGAGGAGAGGGAGGGAGGAGGAGGAGGAGGAGGAGGAGGAGGAGGAGGGAGGAGGAGGAGAAGCAGGAGGAGGAGGAGGGAGGAGTGAGGAGGAGCAGGAGGAGGAGGAGGGGGAGGAGAGGAGGTAGGAGGAGGAGGAGGAGGAGGAGGAGAGGAGGGAGGAGGAGGAGGAGGAGGAGGAGGAGGAGGAGGAGGCGGAGGGGAGGAGGAGGAGAGGGAGGAGGAGGAGGAGGAGGAGAGAGGAGGAGGAGGAGGAGGAGGAGGAGGAGGAGGAGGAGGAGACTTCCGCAGCGACGAGAAGACACCCCCCTTTCGGCAGAAGCAGGCGGAAGTGGGCGCTCGGACGCTTCAGCAATCGGCCACGCTGCCACGCAGGCCCCTGACTTAGAAGCTCCGGGGCACCTGCTCCAACGCCGGCACCTCGGGATGCGCCATGGTGTAGAGGCAATGGCCTGAGGGCCCCCCATACTCCTCCATCTCCCCCATCTACCGTTCCTGCCCCGTGAACGTATCTCCTCCTCCTCCTCCTCCTCCTCCTCCTCCTCCTTCTCTCCTCCTCACCCTCCTCCTCCTCCTCCTCCTCCTCCTCCTCCTCCTCCTCTCCTCCTTCCCTGCCGTCTCTGTCCCCTCCTCCTCCCTCCCCTCCCCTCCTCCCCCTCCTCCTACTCCTCCTCCTCCTTCTCCCTCTCTCCTCCTCCTCTCATCCTCCTCCTCCTCCTCCTCCTCCCTCCTCCTCCTCCTCCTCCTCCTCCTCCTCTTTCCTCCTGCTCCTCCTCCCTCCTCCTCCTCCTCCTACTCCTCCTCCTCCTCCTCCTCCTCCTCCTCCTCCTCCTGGCACAGTAATGCCATCCCCTTTGGAGCAGTGTGTCGACCCCCCTCCCTGGCCCTCCCTCCCCTCCTTCGCTCTCCCTCCCCCTTTGCCGCAATGAGGGAGAGGGGGGCAAGAAAGCCGTTTACAACCACTTCGGCATGGTGAACGTTTTCTTATTCGGTTGTTCGACGTCGGGCGGGAGAGGGGGGGAGGAGGGGGGGTCTGGCTCCGGATCTCTGCTTAGTGCGACTGTTTGCAGCAGTGCGTCCTACGGGGGAGACTCCACCTGCTCCCCCTCCTCCCCCTCCCCTCCTCCTCCTCCTCCTCCTCCTCCTCCTCCTCCTCCTCCTCCTCCTCCTCCTCCTCCTCCTCCTCCTCCCCCTCCATCCCAACCTCCTACTCAAATCCACTACCACCTCCCACTCTGCAAAAACCTGGTTCATATGTATCAGATGTTCTGACCACCTTGACCATCGCTGTTGCACCGTGTGCTGTAGGTATTGCGCTGATGTTCGGGTGCAGCTCCCTCAGCTACAGAGACGTATCCGCTTACATGGCCAACCTCAAGAACGAGCCCAACCAAATAACCAGCGAATTACGCATTCCTCGGGCCATGATGCCCATGTGCATTACGCTCCAGCGAATTACCCATCTGAGGAAGCTGCGTGGATCTAATGAGTAGTAGCCTTTTGGTATTTCGACATCGACGCCATGTTTCGAGATACGGTCGCCGATGCTTATATGATGATGCCGACCACCTGATATTGCTTACACAAACAACTGCAGGAAACTGACACATTAGTGCGTGAATCCTTTCTTCGTAAAGGCCACACCGCGGTCTGAAGGATACCATCAAGCCTATGCAATTGACGGCGGTCGTAATGCGTATGCTGAGCATGACGTAGGGTGTAACAGCGGGTGCTTCCCTGAGTTTGAATACCTGGCGCACACTTACAACTGTGAATAACGATACATATGGTGCGGTGATTACTATAAAGAACAAACGTCGTATGTATTACGTGCTGTTCGTGCTGCTACACCTTCCGTTCCAACTACGCCGTCTTGGCCACCGCTTGCACCCGTCCACTTCTACAACGGAAGCTGTTGGTACGAAGACACATGCGCGTGCCCATTGCCAACGCTGTTCTGCAATTTAGAGGGGCGCCTCGTCCAGACCGAAGACTGCAATGTTCATCGCGTGTTTGCGCGATCCCCGATGGCCGCTGGAGAGCGCACAAGAACAAAGCTTGCACTCTGACGCCGATCAACGTGTGGGGTGGCCTTCAGTTTTGGGGGGTGGGAAAGGGGGGGTACCCCGCGCCTGCCTAGAAGCAGCGCGCTAAGGGTCACTCTTGCCTGGGGCCGCACTCGCGTGTAGCCAGCCCATGGCCTCCACCCTCATTCTGCACCCTTGGCCGCAAGCCCTGGGTCCTGGGCCCACATTTCGTCTGCCCTCGCCCGCGGCAATGCGCCCGAACCCCATGCTCGGACCCGGAAGGCAATCTGCAAGGAGCTCGGTGGCCTCGCACACAGGCTGGCGGATCTCCTGACGAGACGCCCCGCGTGGCCCTCGTTGTTGCGTGGGCCCCCAGCCCCCGTCGGAGAGACGCAGGGCGTTTTGAAGTCAGTCCGCGACACGCAAGGGTCCAGGTAACGTTTGCAGAGATTTCTCCGACCATCGGGGGAAGAGAAGGAGCTCTGGACGCCCGAAATGGGTACGGAAAAAATAGGCACAGCTCCCAACCAACCAACAGCGGCCGCTGTCGGGCAAGCGGCCTTCTGCCTGAAATGCGCACAGGCCGCGGCGGCGCGGACAGCGAATCCCGTTCAAAATGCACAGAACTGCTGTTGGGCATTGTACCCATTCTTTCCGTACCCATTTTTCGTTCGTGCCGAGGCGCAGAGGTGCCCAGGAACCGCTCCTGGAGCGCTGGAGGAGGAGGAGGAGGAGGAGGAGGAGGAGGAGGAGGAGGAGGAGGAGGAGGAGGAGGAGGGGGAGAAGGAGGAGGAGGACGAGGAGGAGGAGGAGGAGGAGGACGAGGAGGAGCAGAGGTGCCCAGGAGCCTCCTGGAGCGGGCGCGGGAGAGCGCT